CCTGGGTTTGGGCCGCAGGGCAGGAGGGTGGCGCCCAGGACAGGAGGCCCGCGCCTACCTCGACAGAGGCTGCTGAAGAAGGCGCCCAGCGAGTCCACCCTGCCGGTCACCAGCTCGCAGTGCACCTCCCTCTGGTACTCGGCCGGGCTGAGGAGGCTCTCGGACAGGATGCGGGCCTGGTACTTCCCTGGGGACAGCGGCAGCTCTCACCAGCCTGTTTTATTTTTATTTTTTTTCCCCCCAATGGCAGAGCTTGAATGCTCAGAGCTAAATCCTCAGCCCGCCCCCTCAGCCATTTTTAAAACTTTTATTTTGAAATAGGGTCTCGTTAACTTGCCTGGGATTAGCTTGAACTTTCAGCCCTCCTGCCTCAGCCTCCTAGAGTGCTGGAATGTCAGGCATGTGCTCTCTGCTCCCAGATCGGAGATCGTGTCCTGATCTCTCTCCCCACCCCAGGCCCAGCACCACAGCAGGTCAGAGCCCCTGTTTGTTGAAGAATCAGCAGTGTGCACTGTCCAGTTCCACTGAACGGTTAGAATAATTTCAGAGGATAAAAAGGATGAGCTTGCTAGGCGTGGTGCTGCACACCCGTGATGCCAGCACTCGGCAGGCTGAGGCAGGAGGATCCCAAGTGGGAGCCCAGCCTGGGCAATTTAGCAACTTAGCTGGACTCTTATCTCAAAATTTAAAAAACTAAAAATAATATAGCTCAGTGCAAAGGCCCTGGGTTCAACCCCCAATATTGCAGAAGAGAGAGGGAGGTGCAAAATGTGGGGTGAAAATACACAATGTCTGAAAATTTCAACGGCCTGGCACACGCAGTGAGTCTGGTGTCTGATTTCCCGACCAGAGCAGCTGCTCCACGAGTGCACCCTGCCCCTGGCCCCACAGGCCAGGCTGAGCAACGTAGCTTTAAGTGAGCGCCCCTAGTTGTGTTGTGCTGTGTCTGAGACAGGGTCTTACTCTGCAGCCCAAGTTGGCCTGGAACTCATGGTGATCCTCCTGCCTCGGCCTCCCAGGTGCCTGGCTAACAGAGCACTTTTATACCTTGGTAGCAAGCAGGCTGGTGTACAAGCCCACAACACAGTGAGTTCATTGTTTCTTATCTCCCTTCCACCAGTAAGGAAACTGAGACTGGGTCTTCCTGTGAATTATCTTTGTTGAGAGAGAGACATAAGGTCAAATTGCCCAGGCTGGACTTGAACTTGAGATCCTCCTGCCTCAGCCTCCCGGAGGCAGGGATGATAGGCGTGTGTCACCCCGAGCCCAGCAGGACTACCTGCTGAAGCCAGCCTGGGTCACCGGCCTCAGACACCAACCCCACACAGAGCGCGAGGGGCCAGCTCACCAGTGACAGCAATACAGGAGTGGATGGCGGCATTGCGGCAGGTGCGGATGATGACCACATAGTTGGCCTTGGCCAGCTTGCCCTCGACCAGCAGGCGGAACATCTCGGCCAGGCCCTCGGCCAGCGAGTAGGTGCACTCGATGACGTGGACGCTGTCGTTGCAGGAGCTGGCGGCCAGGCCAGCCAGCCAGGGCAGCTGTGCTGACGTCACGGGCACTGCGGAGCCAGGCACGGGCGGGCAGGGCTGCGGGGGTGCTGGCGGGCACTGCCGAACCTCGGCCAGGTGTGACTCACGCCAGGAGCGCAGCAGGATCTGCTCCAGGTCCTCCATCAGTGGCACCTGGTCGGCCGCTGCAAGGCAGGGACAGGCGGTCAGCGCGGGAGGCAGGCGCCACCGGACGTTACTTGGTGTTTTGAGACGGAGTCTCGCTATGTGCTCCAGGGTGGTCTCTCATGATGTAACCCAGGTTGCAGAGATCCTCCTGCTTCAGCCTCTTGAGTGCTGGGATGACAGACATGCACCACGACACCCAGCTGATTTTGTCTTTCTCAATCTCTTCTCTTGCCAGGTTTCAAATGCTGAAATTCTTAGAAGTGAATTCCTACAGCCACTATCCCCATGAGCTTGCTTTTTTTTTTTTTTTTTTTGGTACCGGGGATCGAACTCAGGACCTTGTGCTTGCAAGGCAGGTGGCAGAACCACTGAGCTAAATCCCCGGCCCTCCCATGAGCTTGCTTTTATTGCTGTTCTTTTCTTTTCTCTCCCTCTCTGGCTCTCTCTCTCTCTGTCTTTCTCCCTCTCTCTCTCTCTCTCTCTCTCTCTTTCTTCTTATAGGGATCAAATCCAGGACCTCTGCACCGAGCTGCATCCTGGCTCTTTATTTTTTGAGACACGGTCTCACTAAGTCCATAAGTTGCCCAGCTGGGCTTGAACCTCTGATCCTCCTGCCTCAGCCTCCCAGAGTGCTGGAATCACAGGCCTGCACCACCACACCTGGCTTCCATTTTTAATAGATAAATTCAATGAGAATCTGCGCATCCCGGGAGCACCTGGTTAGAGAAGCTGATGTAAGCACGGTCTTCCAAACCTTCCTGCAGGCCCTCTCCCAGCATCGCTCCTTAGGAAAGCTGCTTTGCACCCCATGCCTGTGTTCTCTCCAGTCCTTCCCTCTTCAGCTTCGTCCCCACCCCTTTTGTGGCCCCCGTCAAGGTGGCCAGGGTTCCCTGCGGCCAAACCCAGTCCCTCAAACCCAGTCCCCCCCAGCCACACCGAGGCCGACAACCCTCTCCTCTGGCTTCCTTCGGTCTCCTCTCTGTCCCCTCACGGCTCTCCAGGTTGTGGGGACAGGGGCCATGACACGCTACCACAGGAGGGGCGGGCGAGGGAGGGGCGAGAACCCACAATGCCTGACTAGATCCACATGTGGATCCCGAGAAAGAGCAAGAAAGGACCCCAGCCGGAGCAGTGGTGCACACCAGCACTCGGGAGGCTGAGGCAGGAGGACCACTGAGTTTGAGGCCAGCTGGGACAACATAGGGAGTTCAAGCCCAGCCTGGATGAGTCAGTAAGATCGTATCTCAAACAAACAAGAAAGACCTGCCCACCAGGAAGACACAGGGTGTCCCAAGGGCCACCCAGGCTGGAGGTCCCCAAGACAGAACCTCTTGAACTTCCCCTAAATGAAAAACCCCAGCAATGTCTTTATAGGTAGGAGAGGAGCACAGAGAAATGCACAACCTCCGCAACAGGACATGGCATCCACTTCCCGATGTCATGACACGGTCATCCTCAGAGACCAGGAGCCAGGAAGACAGACTCTAAGGGGTGCCCACCCTTTTCCCCTCCTTACCACCCCTGCCTTCGGGACCACAGAAACAGCTCTGCACCCCCTGAGCCCCCACAAGAGCGAGGTGGACATCTCCTGGTCACCGCGGCGCACACAGCCCTGCCTGTGTCATGGCAGCTCCCTCCCCGGGGCCGGTGCGCACCCAAGGACCTGCCGTCACCACCGCGGACGCCACCGCCCCACTGCGGCTCCAAACGCTGCGGCAGGCTCAGCCATTCTCCCCTCCCACTCCGTCCCCTGTGCTGGGCCATGGCGGTGGCTTACGGGCTTTCTCTACCACCCCAGCCCGCTCTCCCCTCCACAGGGACCACTGCAGTGACCGTGCTGTCCCCAGGGACTGGGACTGTGCCCTGTGATTTCAGCCTCCATTGCCCAAGTCGGTCTTCATGGTGAGGTCTGTGACCAGCACTGTGGATGGCAGCCAATGGGGACTCACCCACCTGGACCCGGCAGCCAATAGGGACTCACCCAGCTGACCCAGCAGCCAATGGGGACTCACCTAGCTGGACCAGGTAGTACACAGTCAGCAGGAGCTGCATCTCCTCAGAGATGGGCTGCACAGCGGAGGAGCCATACTGCTCATAGGCCCTGGAAATGGACTGGGAGTTCTGGTAGCAGGTGTACAACAATGGGCTGACCACCACGTCATTCAGGTTCCCGCACAGGTAGGGGAAGTTCCCGTGGCCTGTGGAGAAAGGGACAGCACTGCTGGCAGGTGGCCTGGCGCAGATCCTGGGACAGGCAGGAAGGCAGGGCGGCCCTCACTGTCCAGCCCCAGGGACTCAGGAAGCAGCAGGGTCACCATCTGTCACCAAAATGACGCATGTCAACCTCTCTGTGCCCAGCATGTGGGGTGTGTGGGTGCTGCACCGGCTGTAGGGCAGCCTGGTGCCCGGGACACCAACTCAGGCTTGCTTAGATACCCAGGGCTTCCAAGGCAGAGTGGCCTGGCTCTGCCTGTGAATTCTTTCACAGCCCTGCCAAACTCGTGGCTCTGGGATGCTGGAGCAGGGACCACAGCTGGTGGCACCATGAACACAGTGATTTACAAGTGGCAATGTGAACAGACTGTATAACAAAGGATGAGAGCCGGGTGCAGTGGCGCATGCCTGCAACCCCAGCACTCGGGAGGCTGAGGTAGGAGGATCTTCGTGAGTTTGAGGCCAGCCTGGGCTACACAGTGAGCCCAAGGCCAGGCTGAACTATGTAGTGAGCTCCTGCCTCAATTTTCATAAAGGAGGCTCAGGGTCCAGTGACATCAGCCCCATGAAAGGGAGGACAAGAAGGGTGTTGGCAGCAGGGTCAGGGGCTGGGACACTGGGCCTCTGTAGAGGGGTGCAGGTGCCATCCTGGCCTCATGGGGGCCTGGCAGCTGCCCAGGCTCTGCTCTCTCGGCCCATGGGGCCAGACAGGCTGCAGCCACCTAGAAAAGATGCAGAACAATGGGACATGTGGGGCCCACAGGAGCCCCGCCACACCCCACCACACCTGTGCCCCACTGCCTCAGGGCCACCTCTTGTGTTTGTTGGTGGCAGCTTTCTGGAGGGAGCAGGGTGTGTGTTTCTTTTGTTTTGGTTTTGGTTATTTTGTGATACTGAGGATTTGCCCCCACGGCCTTTGCCATGAGCTGCATCCCCAGCCCTTTTTAATTTTTATTTTCAGACAGGGTCTCACTAAATTGCTGTGTAACCCAGGCTGGGCTTGACCTTGCAATCTTCCTGCCTCAGCTTCCCAGAGTGCTGGGACTACAGGTGTGCGCCACCATCCCGGCTTCTTTGGATTTGCTGCTGTTGTTTTTAGGAATAAAAAGCGTGTCCTTTCTTAATGAACAGCCGGCAGTTGCTCCCCTTTCCCACCAGGCGGCGTCCTCTCTTGCTACGCGCACCATGACCTCACAGGCACAGCAAGGACCGGACGCGCGCAGGTCTGTACCGCTCCGCACGTCCCGGCCCCAGGAGCTCCGAGTCTTCAGCTCCACGGGAAGGGAAGGGATTTCTGTCGCTGAGCCAGAGATCTCCCTCCCGGGCACCGTCAGACCACGGCCAGGCCGGATCGGGCGGAGTCTGGTTTAATGGTCCACGACCATGTCACACAGCCCGGTCAGAAGACGCTTAGGGCCACGGGTGGCAGTGACGCTCGGTGCTCGGGTACCGCGCAGCTCCGTGAGGAGGAGCGAGGGAAGGAGAGGGAAGACGCAGAGCGGCGAGCGCGGAGGAGGCCTGCGCGTGGGGGCGAGCTCAACCTCAGCACAGCCACCGCAGTTCTGGACTTGCTCAGGTCACCTGGGGGCGGCCTGTCCCTCCCCTGTGCCTCTGCCACCCGCGAGGAAGCTCCACCAAACTTGCCTTTAAAGATCACCGGCTTGGCTTTGCATATTTTCAACAAATTGTCAGGAACAGACACAGGCTCCCCGGAGGCCACGACAGGAAAAGTGACGGAAGCCGGGCCCAGCACGCCCGCCTGGGGCACACAGGCCACACCCGCGCCTTCTAGGAAATCCACACGGATCATCCGGAAGACAGGACGCGTGTTGACATGAAATAATTCATTACAGTAAGAGACACACTGCCACGACCCCCTCAAAACCCGCCCCTCGCTTCAAGCACACTCCTCCCATCATCCCGGCGAGTTTCTGCAGCAGCTCTGCAAGCCTCTTTCCTGAGGGGTTTTCCCCAGTGTCATCACAAATACACGGCATGGGGCCAGGGATTCAGCTCAGGGGTTCCGCTGCCTGCCTCGAAAGTTCGATCCCCGGGACCAAAAAAAAAAAGTGAGCAAAACAAATACACTGACTGCTGCCGCTGAGCACCACCCAGCAGAAAGACAGCTCTGCGTCCTCGTCCATGAAAGGGACACATTTGGGATCCACTCGGGACATCGAGGCAGCCGGGAAGCACAGCTAACGCCCCTGCCCCGTGTGCTGCTAACCGATGTCTCCAGGACTCAGCTCCGCGAAGAGACTGATGCCAGGCAGGGGCTTCTGTGTCCTCGGTCTGTCAGCTGCCCCCACACTCCCGCACACACGCAAGTGCACACCGCCAGCACCGACACCCACATCCCGGGCCTCACCCGGGGCCACTCACCGTACTTCGCTCTGTCCACGCCGCCAGGGGGGCAGCCGGCATCTGCCACCGACGGTGACTCTGGGGACCACCCTTTGTGGCGCTTTTTGGGGGGTCCGGAGTTTGACAAGATCCCTAGAAACATTCAGAGCACGGTTAGACTACAACTAGGGATGAGCTTCGATACAATTTTCCCTTCTTTTGGAAAATGCTTACTTGACTTTTTTTAGAATGCAGTTTACAGTGGATTTTTACACTGTACATTTTTCCTATGTAATGCTTTAAAATTTTGAGACAAGGGCTCATTAAATTGCCCAAGCTGGCTGGTCTTGAAATTGTCGACCCTCCTGCCTCAGCCTCTTCATATGGGAAGCTGAAGCAGGAGGATCACAAGTTCGAGCCCAGCCGGGGCAGATTAATGACTTAATCCCAAAAGCTACTGCTCTGAGAGTGGTTCAATCGGGACTAAAGAGGACCGAGGTGAAGCACTTCATGAAGGACTTGCAGAAGCCACGCTCGTGGTGGTGACCAACACTGCCCGCTGCGTCGCTTCGCACCTTGCAGAGCTGGCTTGGAAACTGGGGAGAAGTGCGGTTTCCTACCCGCCTCGCAGCGCTCCGCGCATTCCCCGATTCCACCACTGGAGGGCGGTGCTGATCCGCTTTGCTCCCTGCCTGGAAAGCTCATTTCAGATCGAGAGGAGGGAGGGAAGCGGGACCAGCTGCCGGCCCCCTCCGCAGACAGCAAGCTCCAGACCCAGGCTGGAGGCTTTGAACCTGAGCCCGCCGCCTGGGAGCAGGGATTCCCTGAGTCTGGCCCCAGAAGGAGCTGCACAGGCCGCGCCGGGGCAGGAGCCAAGTCAGTGTCCCTTCCCAGCCCCCGTGGCGACACAGAACCAGGTCTCTGTGGACAATGAGAGAGCGCCGCCTTCACCAGCAGCAGCTCCTGGAGTTGCCCCCTAAGCGCCTCCCCCTTCTTCAGACCGACTGAAACGGAATAAAACTTTTTTAAAAGCTACAAACATGTTGGCTGTGGCGATGTACATCACGACCCCAGCTCCTTAGGCGGCTGAGGCAGGAGGATTGCCAAGTTCAAGGCCAGCCAGGCTGGGCAACTTCCTGAGACCTTTCCTAAAAATAGCTAATTTTAGAAGGGGCTGCTGAGGCCCTGGGAACTCTGCTGTGTGTGTGGGGGCCAGGCAACCTCAGATCCAGCTCAGAGAGCTGCGGACAAAGGATTTGGTCCCCACAGCCAGAGGACCGGTCCTTGGCCACACGGCAGCGCCTGGAAGGGGAAAGGGCAGGAATAGGGCGGGGCTGCCCTGTGGGCTGACACAGCCTCCACTTCAGACCTGGGGGCGTCGGCTGCGGCTGCGGTGAGAACTCACGTTTGCCCCTTGGCCCAGGGCAGTGGAGAGGAGGCGGAGTCCAGCCCTTCCCTGCCTGTGGTCCTCAGGCCCCTCCCCATGCCAAAGACCTCTGTGACCCGGGTCTGGGGTCCTCACTGCAGCCCGGCTGTGTGCTAGGGGGCAGGAGACCTGTGAGGTGCTCAGGCCGGCATGGCCCTGGCAGAGAGTGCTAGACTGGGGTCCCCAGGGGCCCTCAGGTGTCTTCCTCCATCATCTCAGCCAACCCAGGGCCTTCCTGCTGAGCTCCACCCCCATTCCTTGTAATATCTTTCACTTTGAGACAGGGTCTTGCTATGTTGCCCAGGCTGAGCTCAAATGTGAGATCCTCCTGCCTCAGCCTCCCACCGTGCTGGGATTTTAGGCGTGTACAGCACCACGCCTGGCTCTGTTCTTCCCTCTCCCCTTTGCCTCCTCAGTGCTTCCTTGGCCGGAAGGCTGCGGCCCTACCCACCCCCATGGTGCCCAAACACCCAGCCTCCACGGTGCTGATACTGGTGCCAGCAGCCGGCGCTGATCAGTGGGCTGCGGCCCCTCCCCCCGGGGTTTCCTCAAAGCCCCCCAGACTGAGGGTCGCCTCACTGTCCTCAGGGCTCTCACGGCTCCTCGGCCAGGGCCAGGTGACCTCAGTGTCCCCACCAGCCCGCGCCCCAGATTCCCAGGCCACGCGTTACCTAAGGCCAGGGGCCGGCCAGGTGCGGACGCGCTGCTCCGGGCCAGCTGCTGGAGCCTGGGGGAGT